CACTTGGTTGTCTGGCGTGTCATGTAGGGAAGGGAGGGAGCCACACTTGGTTGTCTGGCGTGTCATGTAGGGAAGAGAGGGAGCCACACTTGGTTGTCTGGCCGGTCATGTTGGGAAGGGAGGGAGCCACACTTGGTTGTCTGGCCAGTCATGTAGGGAAGGGAGGGAGCCACACTTGGTTGTCTGGCCAGTCATGTAGGGAAGAGAGGGAGCCACACTTGGTTGTCTGGCCGGTCATGTTGGGAAGGGAGGAAGGGAGGGAGCCACACTTGGTTGTCTGGCCATTCATGTAGGGAAGGGATGGAGCCACACTTGGTTGTCTGGCCAGTCATGTAGGGAAGGGAGAAAGGGAGGGAGCCACACTTGGTTGTCTGGCCAGTCATGTAGGGAAGGGACGGAGCCACACTTGGTTGTCTGGCCGGTCATGTAGGGAAGGGAGGGAGCTACACTTGGTTGTCTGGCCAGTCATGTAGGGAAGGGAGAGAGCCACACTTGGTTGGCTGTCCAGTCATGTAGGGAAGGGAGAAAGGGAGGGAGCCACACTTGGTTGTCTGGCCAGTCATGTAGGGAAGGGAGGGAGCCACACTTGGTTGTCTGGCCGGTCATGTAGGGAAGGGAGAGAGCCACACTTGGTTGGCTGTCCAGTCATGTAGGGAAGGGAGGGAGCTACACTTGGTTGTCTGGCCAGTCATGTAGGGAAGGGAGGGAGCCACACAAGGTTGTCTGTCCGGTCATTTAAGGGAGGGAAGGAGCTACACTTGGTTGGCTGTCCAGTCATGTAGGGAAGGGAGGGAGCCACACAAGGTTGTCTGTCCGGTCATTTAAGGGAGGGAAGGAGCTACACTTGGTTGGCTGTCCAGTCATGTAGGGAAGGGAGGGAGCTACACTTGGTTGTCTGGCCAGTCATGTAGGGAAGGGAGGGAGCCACACAAGGTTGTCTGTCCGGTCATTTAAGGGAGGGAAGGAGCCACACTTGGTTGTCTGGCCAGTCATGTAGGGAAGGGAGGGAGCCACACTTGGTTGTCTGGCCAGTCATGTAGGGAAGGGACGGAGCCACACTTGGTTGTCTGGCGTGTCATGTAGGGAAGGGAGGGAGCCACACTTGGTTGTCTGGCCGGTCATGTAGGGAAGGGAGGGCGCCACACTTGGTTGTCTGGCCAGTCATGTTGGGAAGGGAGGGAGCCACACTTGGTTGTCTGGCATGTCATGTAGGGAAGGGAGGGAGCCACACTTGGTTGTCTGGCATGTCATGTAGGGAAGGGAGGGCACCACACTTGGTTGTCTGGCGTGTCATGTAGGGAAGGGAGGGAGCCACACTTGGTTGTCTGGCCAGTCATGTTGGGAAGGGAGGGAGCCACACTTGGTTGTCTGGCATGTCATGTAGGGAAGGGAGGGCACCACACTTGGTTGTCTGGCGTGTCATGTAGGGAAGGGAGGGAGCCACACTTGGTTGGCTGTCCAGTCATGTAGGGAAGGGAGGGAGCCACACTTGGTTGTCTGGCGTGTCATGTAGGGAAGGGAGGGAGCCACACAAGGTTGGCTGTCCAGTCATGTAGGGAAGGGAGGGAGGGAGCCACACTTGGGTGTCTGGCCGATCGTGTAGGGAAGGGAGAGAGCCACACTTGGTTGTCTGGCGTGTCATGTAGGGAAGGGAGGGAGCCACACAAGGTTGTCTGTCCAGTCATGTAGGGAAGGGAGGGAGCCACACTTGGTTGTCTGGCGTGTCATGTAGGGAAGGGAGGGAGCCACACTTGGTTGTCTGGCGTGTCATGTAGGGAAGGGAGGGAGCCACACTTGGTTGTCTGGCCAGTCATGTAGGGAAGGGAGGGAGCCACACTTGGTTGTCTGGCCAGTCATGTAGGGAAGGGAGGGAGCCACACTTGGTTGTCTGGCGTGTCATGTAGGGAAGGGAGGGAGCCACACTTGGTTGTCTGGTGTGTCATGTAGGGAAGGGAGAGAGCCACACTTGGTTGTCTGTCCAGTCGTGTAGGGAAGGGAGGGAGCCACACTTGGTTGTCTGGCCAGTCATGTAGGGAAGGGAGGGAGCCACACTTGGTTGTCTGGCGTGTCATGTAGGGAAGGGAGGGAGCCACACTTGGTTGTCTGGCGTGTCATGTAGGGAAGGGAGGGAGCCACACAAGGTTGTCTGTCCAGTCATGTAGGGAAGGGAGGGAGCCACACTTGGTTGTCTGGCCAGTCATGTAGGGAAGGGAGGGAGCCACACTTGGTTGTCTGGCGTGTCATGTAGGGAAGGGAGGGAGCCACACTTGGTTGTCTGGCCAGTCATGTAGGGAAGGGAGGGAGCCACACTTGGTTGTCTGGCCAGTCATGTAGGGAAGGGAGGGAGCCACACTTGGTTGTCTGGCGTGTCATGTAGGGAAGGGAGGGAGCCACACTTGGTTGTCTGGCCAGTCATGTAGGGAAGGGAGGGAGCCACACTTGGTTGTCTGGCCAGTCATGTAGGGAAGGGAGGGAGCCACACTTGGTTGTCTGGCCGGTCATGTAGGGAAGGGAGGGAGCCACACTTGGTTGGCTGTCCAGTCATGTAGGGAAGGGAGAGAGCCACACTTGGTTGGCTGTCCAGTCATGTAGGGAAGGGAGAGAGCCACACTTGGTTGTCTGGCCAGTCATGTAGGGAAGGGAGGGAGGGAGCCACACTTGGTTGTCTGGCCAGTCATGTAGGGAAGGGAGAGAGCCACACTTGGTTGGCTGTCCAGTCATGTAGGGAAGGGAGGGAGGGAGCCACACTTGGTTGTCTGGCCGGTCATGTAATAAGGGAGGGAGCCACACTTGGTTGTCTGGCCGGTCGTGTAGGGAAGGGAGGGAGGGAGCCACACTTGGTTGTCTGGCCGGTCATGTAATAAGGGAGGGAGCCACACTTGGTTGGCTGTCCAGTCATGTAGGGAAGGGAGAGAGCCACACTTGGTTGTCTGGCCAGTCATGTAGGGAAGGGAGGGAGGGAGCCACACTTGGTTGTCTGGCCGGTCATGTAATAAGGGAGGGAGCCACACTTGGTTGTCTGGCCGGTCGTGTAGGGGAGTAGCTGTGTCGGGAGCCAAGTAGAGCAGTGGAATCCACATGAAGCTTGCCAGATCAATATGATGACAATTGGTAATCCAGATTGTTCTCAAGCAGCAACCAGACCTGGGTCCTCAACTGAAACTTTTGACTTCTCTCAAATTGTTTATGGTAAAAAATATTTCACCACACGATGTACAATATTGCATTTTCTCATTATGTTGAGGTTTAATTTGCTTCCATCACCCAGAAGTGATGTGGGGCTGGAGGTTTGCACGAACAGATTTCAGTGTCCATAGCTCATTCTTATGGCTAAAATGGAGGGTTGCACAATCTGCAATGCCTGCTTCAGCAAAGCAGTTCATCATTGTTGGCAACCTTCTTTAGGTTGTGGGCTTCCTTTCTCTCCGCTATTTTCTTTTTCTTCGTCTTTCCATGCCAACAGGAAACATGGTTGATCAGCCACAAAAATGTTGACAATAGTACACTTTTTAAGTATTTGGAAAAGGATGTCCTGTTGGCTTAGGTAAGAAAATCAAGAGATGTTGAACCGATCAGATCCTTTGGTCAGTTGAACCCTGACATCATTTCATGAAACATTTTGTGTATTAGCCATCTCAATAGGCATGTTTTATATACTGCTGTGATATTACTGGTAAACTAAGGTTATCACGAACTCGAAGGGACCACTATTTTTAGTTGGTCACAACCGTAGTTCGTTGTAAGCATATATACAGCATTTATACAACAAATGGTCGGGACTAAAAATAAGTTTGTTATATCGGTCAGTTTGTTATAAGCGTGTTCGTTTTAAACGTAGTTGACTGTATTTGAATATTGACTGGCTAACTTTGACACTCATCAGACAAACATATCTTTGGGTTTCCATAAAGGGGATATTTCTTTAACCATCCGCAAAATTCTCTGAGATCATGCGATAGTGAAGAAACTTTGTTCTGTTGTTGAAAATAAAACATTTTCATCAACAGTTACCAGGCAATAATATACTACTTGTACTCTGCTGCTTTCTGGAAACAGTAATATACACAAGAAAATACAGTAAGCTGTTCTCAAACATCTCGACTGAAAATTTTGCACATACAATATATACTCCATATTGGTACAGAGCACCAGATAACCTGCATATTTGGATAAATCACTGTTACCCATTTAATTTTGAGTTCCTTGATTACAAATATGCATGTAAAAATTATAAAAACCCAATGGCATAACAACACTCAAAGTATCCTTTTCAGTGTTATTTACAGATCCTTATATACAGATCGAATGCAGGCATCACATGAACAAACTCTACTGCAGTGAATATGTATAAAAATGGTGCTTTTTCTCACTCAATGTTAGACATGTAAACTGTTGTGAGTTTATGTGACGCGTTTCACGCTTAAATAGCGCAGGAATGGATATAAAAAAGAATTCACCTAACCTGAAACAGCATGTTTTGAAGAATAATTTAAAACGAATGTCATCTTATTGGTGTAAAAGTACCCAATAGACTGGATCCAAGACAGTAAAAAAGAAAATCTACCAATACCCAATGTGAATGATAACTTGGGATTTAAATGCTCAATACCTTACAAGATTGTCTGGAGCCTTGTTGGTATATGCTTAGTGTTGTATATATTGAATATGGCCAGGCTTATATGTTTGAATATTGCCTGGTGTTGTATATGTTGAATATTGTTTGGTGTTGTATATGTTGAATGTTGCCTGATGTTGTATATGTTGAATATTGTCTGGTGTTGTATATGTTGAATGTTGCCTGGTGTTGTGTGTGTTGAATATTGTCTGGTGTTGTTAGAGTGTAATATTGCTTGCATGCTGTGCTTTGTCTTGAGCCAGGTGACAGATTGTGCTAGATTGAAATATGTTGATTGTTTGCTTTACTGAGCTGCCATTGGTGAGATGTTTGATTGACATATTTGAGTTCTCATGTACTCACTGCCATGTTGTTTATGTTTCAGTGTGTTTTGGGATCTATATTGTGCCGCGCCAGAGAGGAGAGAAACATGTGATCATTCTAGTGAAGCTAAAGCATTTCATGATTATGTGAGTATTGCCCCTTTTTGGGGGGTTGATATGATATCTGCAGCAAGCTTATGCTATCAAATTAACCACGTATGTGGCCTCCCTAGTTGTCGAACAAACCATGACCTAAGCTGTTGGTAGACCGTGGCCTCCTTCGACATTGACAGATGTGGCCTCCTTAGCTGCTGGGCAGACCTTGGCTTCCCTAGCTGTTGGGCAGACCATGGCCTCACTAGCTGCTGGGCAGACCATAGCCTCACTAGCTGTTGGGCAGACCATAGCCTCACTTGCTGCTGGGCAGACCATGGCCTCACTAGCTGTTGGGCAGACCATAGCCTCACTAGCTGCTGGGCAGACCATAGCCTCACTAGCTGTTGGGCAGACCATGGCTTCCTTAGCTGCTGGGCAGACCATGGCCTCACTAGCTGTTGGGCAGACCATGGCTTCCCTAGCTGTTGGGCAGACCATGGCCTCACTAGCTGCTGGGCAGACCTTGGCCTCCCTAGCTGCTGGGCAGACCTTGGCCTCACTAGCTGTTGGGCAGACCATAGCCTCCCTAGCTGTTGGGCAGACCTTGGCTTCCCTAGCTGTTGGGCAGACCTTGGCTTCCCTAGCTGTTGGGCAGACCATGGCCTCCTAGCTGTTGGGCAGACCTTGGCTTCCCTAGCTGTTGGGCAGACCATGGCCTCCCTAGCTGTTGGGCAGACCTTGGCCTCCCTAGCTGTTGGGCAGACCATGGCCTCCCTAGCTGTTGGGCAGACCTTGGCCTCACTAGCTGTTGGGCAGACCTTGGCTTCCCTAGCTGTTGGGCAGACCTTGGCTTCCCTAGCTGTTGGGCAGACCTTGGCCTCACTAGCTGTTGGGCAGACCATGGCCTCACTAGCTGCTGGGCAGACCATGGCCTCCCTAGCTGTTGGGCAGACCATGGCCTCACTAGCTGTTGGGCAGACCATGGCCTCACTAGCTGTTGGGCAGACCATGGCCTCACTAGCTGTTGGGCTAACCATGGCCTCACTAGCTGTTGGGCAGACCATGGCCTCACTAGCTGTTGGGCAGACCATGGCCTCACTAGCTGTTGGGAGGACCATGGCCTCACTAGCTGCTGGGCAGACCTTGGCCTCACTAGCTGTTGGGCAGACCTTGGCTTCCCTAGCTGTTTGGCAGACCATGGCCTCACTAGCTGCTGGGCAGACCTTGGCCTCACTAGCTGTTGGGCAGACCTTGGCTTCCCTAGCTGTTTGGCAGACCATGGCCTCACTAGCTGTTGGGCAGACCTTGGCTTCCCTAGCTGTTTGGCAGACCATGGCCTCACTAGCTGTTGGGCAGACCTTGGCTTCCCTAGCTGTTGGGCAGACCAAGGCCTCACTAGCTGTTGGGCAGACCATGGCCTCACTAGCTGCTGGACAGACCATGGCCTCACTAGCTGTTGGGCAGACCTTGGCTTCCCTAGCTGTTGGGCAGACCTTGGCTTCCCTAGCTGTTGGGCAGACCTTGGCCTCACTAGCTGTTGGGCAGACCATGGCCTCACTAGCTGCTGGGCAGACCATGGCCTCCCTAGCTGTTGGGCAGACCATGGCCTCACTAGCTGTTGGGCAGACCATGGCCTCACTAGCTGTTGGGCAGACCATGACCTCACTAGCTGTTGGGAGGACCATGGCCTCCCTAGCTGCTGGGCAGACCTTGGCCTCACTAGCTGTTGGGCAGACCTTGGCTTTCCTAGCTGTTGGGCAGACCATGGCCTCACTAGCTGCTGGGCAGACCTTGGCTTCCCTAGCTGTTTGGCAGACCATGGCCTCACTAGCTGTTGGGCAGACCTTGGCTTCCCTAGCTGTTGGGCAGACCATGGCCTCACTAGCTGCTGGGCAGACCTTGGCCTCACTAGCTGTTGGGCAGACCTTGGCTTCCCTAGCTGTTTGGCAGACCATGGCCTCACTAGCTGTTGGGCAGACCTTGGCTTCCCTAGCTGTTTGGCAGACCATGGCCTCACTAGCTGTTGGGCAGACCTTGGCTTCCCTAGCTGTTGGGCAGACCAAGGCCTCACTAGCTGTTGGGCAGACCATGGCCTCACTAGCTGCTGGGCAGACCTTGGCCTCACTAGCTGTTGGGCAGACCTTGGCTTCCCTAGCTGTTGGGCAGACCTTGGCTTCCCTAGCTGTTGGGCAGACCATGGCCTCACTAGCTGCTGGGCAGACCATGGCCTCCCTAGCTGTTGGGCAGACCATGGCCTCACTAGCTGTTGGGCAGACCATAGCCTCACTAGCTGTTGGGCAGACCATGACCTCACTAGCTGTTGGGAAGACCATGACCTCACTAGCTGTTGGGAGGACCATGGCCTCACTAGCTGCTGGGCAGACCTTGGCCTCACTAGCTGTTGGGCAGACCTTGGCTTCCCTAGCTGTTTGGCAGACCATGGCCTCACTAGCTGTTGGGCAGACCTTGGCTTCCCTAGCTGTTGGGCAGACCATGGCCTCACTAGCTGTTGGGCAGACCTTGGCTTCCCTAGCTGTTGGGCAGACCATGGCCTCACTAGCTGTTGGGCAGACCATGGCCTCACTAGCTGCTGGGCAGACCTTGGCCTCACTAGCTGTTGGGCAGACCTTGGCTTCCCTAGCTGCTGGGCAGACCTTGGCTTCCCTAGCTGTTGGGCAGACCATAGCCTCCCTAGCTGCTGGGCAGACCATGGCCTCACTAGCTGCTGGGCAGACCATGGCCTCACTAACTGTGTTGGGCAGACCATGGCTTCCCTAGCTGCTGGGCAGACCTTGGCCTCCCTAGCTGCTGGGCAGACCTTGGCTTCCCTAGCTGTTGGGCAGACCATAGCCTCCCTAGCTGCTGGGCAGACCATGGCCTCACTAGCTGTTGGGCAGACCATGTCCTCACTAGCTGTTGGGCAGACCTTGGCTTCCCTAGCTGTTGGGCAGACCATAGCCTCCCTAGCTGCTGGGCAGACCATGGCTTCCCTAGCTGCTGGGCAGACCATGGCTTCCCTAGCTGCTGGGCAGACCATGGCCTCACTAGCTGTTGGGCAGACCTTGGCTTCACTAGCCGTTGGGCAGACCATGGCCTCCCTAGCTGCTGGGCAGACCATGGCTTCCCTAGCTGTTGGGCAGACCATGGCCTCACTAGCTGCTGGGCAGACCTTGGCTTCTCTAGCTGTTAGGAAGACCATGGCCTCCCTAGCTGTTGGGCAGACCATGGCCTCCCTAGCTGTTGGGCAGACCATAGCCACTCCAGCTGCTGGGCAGACCGTGGCAGGCTGACAGTGGCCTCTTTCATATGAAGGGACCATGGCTTCCCTGGATGTAGACAGACTAGGGCCTTCCAAGCTGTTGCACAGGCCATGGCCTCCCTCGACATGGGAAAAATTGTGGCCTCCCTAGACATGGGACAGACTGTGGCCTCCCTAGACATGAGAAAAACTGTCGCCCCCCTTGACACGGGACAGGGTGTGGCCTCCCGGGACACAGACAGACTGTGGCCTCCCTAGACATGGGAAAAACTGTCGCCCCCCTTGACACGGGACAGGGTGTGGCCTCCCTAGACATGGGACAGACTGTGGCCTCCCTAGACATGGGACAGACTGTGGCCTCCCTAGACATGGGACAGACTGTGGCCACCCTAGACATGGGACAGACTGTGGCCTCCCTAGACATGGGACAGACTGTGGCCTCCTTAGACTTGGGACAGACTGTGGCCACCCTAGACATGGGACAGACTGTGGCCTCCCTAGACATGGGACAGACTGTGGCCTCCCTAGACACGGGACAGACTGTGGCCTCCCTAGACACGGGACAGACTGTGACCTCCCTAGACTGGGATGTCTGTGGCCTCCCTAGACACAGCACATACTGTGACCTCCCTAGACTGGGATGTCTGTGGCCTCCCTAGACTTTGGACAGACTGTGGCCTCCCTTGCTGTCAGACAGACTGTAGACATGTGACAGGTCAGGTTACAGGCTTGAACTAATTTCTGCAAGTAAGATTTATTATGTCTAGTATATAATAAAACATTCATTATCATGACTCGGGTAGGAATATACTTTCGAAGTTGACTAGTCCACACACATAAATACAACATTCTACTTGCGCTGTGTGACAAGTTTCTGGCACACTGCACGAATTCATATTGATGAATACCTTAGAAATTATTGTTAGAAATTTTGAATGAAGCTTAGGAAGGTCAAATTTTGTTTTTGTTTTCTGAAAATACAAGAACAGTGATATTACCGATGTTACTGAACTTGGTTGTCCTTCACCTGTAGCAGGTAGCAGCCATCTGGTTTGATTGCTGCTGTTGATAATCACTACAGCAGTGGTTTAAAAATGCTGAACATCTATGTCAGACGCAGGTGAAACAGCTGGGGTGGCTCAAGTATGAGAGAATGTCTGGCGATGTGCTCCTGTCACACAGATCATTCAGAAATATTCTAGACATTATTGCCCTGGCTTATCTACTGTGTACTTAAAAGTATGAATCTCTTAAATATCAGGAGTTGGAAATGCTTATTCATTGTAAAGTGGTGTAAGGCCATATTGTTGTCTCAATCCCATTGGAAATACCATAGTTGTTGGTTATTGGCACCAGGTAAACAATTTGATAGAAATAAGTATTAACATTTTATTGAATATTTTAACATGAGTTGATTAAGTTTCTAATCTAATGGCTTGTGAACATGCTACGCAAAGCTCCTAGTATTTAGAGGAACAAGCACAATCTCGATGGAGACAAGCAGATGGCTTAGACACCTACCTATCCTTCAAGGGACAACTGCAGTTATCTGGAAAGGACACCTGCCTATTCTGGGAGGGGCTCATGCAGATATCATACTGGACACCTGCAGATTTTTCAGGGACATGTGTAGGTCCCCATTGAGATTCTTGCAGATTGTTGAAGGACACTTGCTGATCATTCTTGCAAAGGACACTTGCAAATGCTGCTTCACATACCAGCTGACATCACTACTTTAATCATCTGATCACGCTGCAAAGGCGGACTGCATGTCTTGATATGTAGTGCACCT